TTATAGCTTAATGTGTACAGAGTTTCAGTGTGGGAAGATGAAAAGGTTCTGGTGGTGGATGGTGGTGACGATTGCACAAAAATGTAACTGTACTTACTGCCCCTTAACTGTATAGACTTGAAAATGGTAAATTTTATGTTATGCATGTTTTATCACAATAAAAAAGTGAAGCAAAGTAGGTAAGGAAATAAATTGAGGTAAAGAGAGTAGGATGGACATCTTCTCCTATCTGTTGGGGTCAGAATAAAGAAAGTAATAGGATTTTGGATTTTGGTTTCTTTTTGCTACATAAACTATGATTACTGCCTCTCTCCCACTTTTTAAAATTGTTGTTTGTTTTTGAAACAGGGTCTCACTCTGTCACCCAGGCTGGAGTGCAGTGGTGCAATCTTGGCTCATTGCAACCTCCGCCTCCCAGGATCAATCATTCTGTATGATTCCGCATACAAGAGGTACTTACAGTGGTCAGATTCATAGAGACAGGAAGTAGAATGGTGGTTGCTGGAGCTGGGGACAGCGATTCTCCTCCCTTAGCCTCTTGAGTGCTGGGACTATGGGTGCGAGACACCATGCAAGGCTAATTTTTAATTTTTTTTTTTTAGTAGACACGTGGTTTCACCATGTTGGCCGGGCTAGTCTCAAACTCCGGACCTCAAGTGACCCGCCTGCCTAGGCTTCCCAAAGTGCTGGGATTATAGGTGTGAGCCACCGTGCCCAGCTTTCCTTCCTCATGTTCTCTGGAAATAATGATAAGGGAAAAGGATCTTTAGCTCCAACTACAAAAAGGGCGGCAGAAATAATCTTGTCTCATTCCAAATAGATTTTCTCCCCTGCGCAACAATGTTGCCTGCTTCTCTTCTCACTCCCCTCTAAACAGGATGGCTGGATCTGACTGGGAGTCGCAGCAGAGCCCAGCATCTTTCACATATAGAAGTACTCAATGAATAATACTTGTGAAAATTGAATTTCTGCCTTTTTACAAAATATGTATTTCATAAAGAAGCTTCTTTGTACCTGCTAAATGAGAATCTTCTAAGAGGGGAGGATCCCTCCCGCAATGCAGGGGTTCCTCTGGACTGTCTTTACAGATCAGTGCAAAATAGGCAAGAAGGACAAAATAATATTTTGAGATTAAATTATGTTTCCTCCTTTGCTGCTGCTTTATTCAAGCACTTAGCTGAGAGTGTTCCTTGTTGAACCAGAGGAAATTTGGGGGCAGAACACTATAAACAGTCCTTCGGAGAACTTGTTACCTGTAAGCTAAAGAAGGCCTCAGATAAGCTGGAGTTTGCCCCTCAAAATATTGATTTGTACAGTGTTTTGCTGAAATTTACATTTGTAGATGTTTAAAAATGAGGAGATGTCACATAAAAATCTGGGTTCCTGGGTTTTATTTCAAAATGTGAAGATAGCTCAAGCAACTTTATTTGCCTACTTGGCAACAACCAGCTGGATCTGAACTTCAGCTGTTGCATTTAGGATGGCATATTAATTAGGATAATATGAGCTGCCATAACAAATCGCCTCTCATATTTCAGTGACATAGCACAAAAGAAGTCGATTTCTCACTTACATACGACAAGTCTGGTGCAGGCGATTCAGGGACCTGGGGCTCCCTCTTTGCTGTGTCTCCACTGTCCTTAGGGGCCAGGGAATTTTTTGTTTTCAGCCTGTGGAATGGGAAAAAGGAAGTGGAGAAGCACACCCATTTCTTAACCGCACTGGCCTGAAAGTGACACACATCCACTTGGCCCACATTCCACTGGGGGGACCCAGTCATGTGGCTCACCTAGATGCAAGGGGAGCTGGGAAACATGAAGCCGGTCTGAGCAGCCACTTCCTGCCACCAACCCTATCCCACGGATGGGGGAATCACAAATGTGCAGTGGCCGCGTGCACCTGTGCTGCAAATGGACAAATGAACTCAATTTGCCACAGTTCCCACTACTTGTTTCACATCCCTGAGTGGCCCCTGAAGGCATTTGAGTTTGTGGCTCTGGTTTAATTTGTGTTTGGGGGCACAGTGTGAGGAAAAAACATGGAAAAGACAGATTTTCCCTAGACTGAAAAGGAGATTGCCCCGGGGCAGGAGGAAGACAAACAGAGATCAGTGGGTCCTGAGGCTGAGGGTATGTGTGACTTGTGTCCCTGAAATACCATCTTGGAAACTGCAGGACCCCTGGAAGGAACAGCTGCAGGGACTGTCTTAGCAGATGAGGCAATAGCCACCGCCACCCCACCCCAAATTCCTGTGCCCCTAGTGGGATACAGAAGTAGCAGGGAGCTCATCAGCCCAAGCAGCCACATGAGCCTGGGCAGTGGAAACAATTCAGCCATATTTTTTGGGAACAGAGGACCAAATGGATGTGCCATCCCTTCTCCCAACCCACTACATGGGACTGTGTAAATCCCTGGTGTTAGGAACTAACTCCAGGAAGGATGAAGGCTGACTCCCTTACTCCCCAGTAGATTAGCTGCTAGGGGCAGCTACTAATATATAATGTAAAAATATTTTCTAATATATAATGTAAAAATAACTGAGTTATTTACATAAAAGAATGGATATGTGACGCTTCTTGCATGCCTGAGTTTCTGGGCTGAGACTTATTCTCCCTTCACTGTTGCGGTTTTCTTAATGAAGTTGCTGAGGAACGCAGGGGCCTTGTTCATTTTGCCTTTTTCTGGAAACTTTGTGCTCCAATTCCCAGATCCAGAGCAGTGCCTCTGCTCTTAGCGCCATACTGCCCACATTCTCATCAGGGAAAGCAAACAAAAGCCAAAGCCCTGACCAATTACAAGGCTTCTCTAAACGGGGCAGTTGCACTGTGTATATTCCTGGCGCATCAATTTTACTCAGACTGGGAAAATACTTTTACATTAAAAGAAACTAGGTTAAATTATGGCACAGAATGCAAAATTCATAGTTTAAAAATGATGAAATTCCAGACTTCAAAGGAACTTCTTTCTTGCAGGGTAGGGGGAGGGTTTTCTGTTTCTGAACCCCATGGGGTCTCCACTGGAGTTCTTTTGACAAGGTCACTTCTGTGGAAAAGTTTGAGCAGCTCTGGCCGTGCGCCTGGCCTGGCTAGGGGCCACCTTCCTCTGGTTTGGGCTGCAGCGCCCTATGGGTATCGCGTTCTTGTTGTTATCTCCTCACGTTTCTAAACTCACAGCTTGTCAGCGCGGGCGCAACCTGAGAGCTGTCGCAGGGTTCCAGCTCACTCGTTTCACAAAGGAGGAAATGGAGAATCAGCGACTTTAAAGGGCTTGCCTGGCGGACATCCACGCTTCCCAGGCTATCGCTCCTCCCTGCGTCCTTGGCCACCTCTGTTCTTTAATCCTGCAGGAACTCGGGACCCACGTGCAAATACAAAGAACCTTATCCACCCACCCCCGGCCCTTCTTCATCCTGCGCTTCCAACCTTGGGGGGTCCTCTCTCTTCACTAGGGTATCTGACGCCCGTGGGGGTGCTTAGAAAAGTTCGGTAGATTAGTGACTTCTGGTTCTGGAACAAATACATCACAGCCCAAACTGGGGGCTGGTGGTGGAGAGGTGGGTGGATGGGGGCGACAAATCTGCTCGGCCAAGAGAGAGGAGCTGGAGTCCTTTGGGGTTGGAGGACTGAACCCTTGAGGCCTGATTGAGGGCTCAAGGGGCGAAGGCAGGTTGGCAGGGGCAGCCTCTTCCCGCCGCCCACAATCCTCGGGCGGGCGCGCAGCCGAGCCGGCTCTGCTGGCTGGCGCAATCTCGCGCGCTCCTTGCATTGATCAAAAATGGGGGTTGAAACAGTAAACGCGAGGAGGAGCAACTGTCGGACTCGGTTCAGAAGCACGACCAATGGGGATGCGAGCTTCTTCGCGCGAACCAATCAGCGCAGGGCCTGCGACAGCGCGGGCCAATGGGGCGCCGACTCGGCCCTGGAACAGGGCAGGGGTGCGGAGCCGGCTGCAGACTCTCACCGCGGCGGTCGTGAACGCTAGCCGTTCACGCGTTCGGTCCTCCTTGGCTGACTCGCCGCCCTAGCCGCCGCACCATGGACGCCCCGAGGCAGGTGGTTAACTTTGGGCCTGGTCCCGCCAAGCTGCCGCACTCAGTAAGTCCCCGCGAGCGGGCGCCGGGAGTGAGGTTCAGGCGGGAGCACGCGCGCGGGTGGGTTTGCATCCCTGCGTGTGGCACTCGGATTCTCGCTCCCCGCCTTGAGTCCCCTAGGCGCTTTGCATCAGCATGCACGGCGGGATCAGCAGCTCTGGCAGGCGGGCTTCGGCAAGAATGCAGTTGGTGAGGAAGCTCTGCGAGGCGTGCCGGTGCAGCTGCCCCTGGCCCTGACTGCTGATGCGAGGCAGTGCCCGACTCAGCTGGCCGGGGCCTGCTGCCCCGCCGGTGCCGCGCACCTGCAGACTCCCGGGCTGTGCCATCTCCTGGGCAGGGCAGGGCCGGGGGCTGGGGCGGGGCGGAAGAGAAAAAGCTCTGATCTCTGCGTTCGCCTCGCGCAGCTGTGCGGCGAGCCCGGGCAGTGTGATGCCCGAGCGGATGCATGAATGGACATAGTGTGAATGAGTGAGGAATGGGAATGAACCGATGACAGCTTTTGCGTATTGCAGTGGATCACCTTAGCTGAAAGGGATTGCAAACTTAAAGGTCCGCGTGTGGGTGCCCCCCTACCCCCTACACCAGTGTTTGCTTTAGCCAGCACTTAGGAGCACTGCTTTTCAGAAATGTAAATTTGAAAACCTTCAGTCCAACTTTCCCCTCCTTGTCCCCCATAGAACCTACCCTTTCCTAAAGCCTTTCTCCCCACCCCTCTCCTTTTTTTAACCTGCTTGTCCCCTAAAGGCGTTCGAGTGTTCGAACTCTGGTGGGCTTTGGGCTGCTTAACCCAATTATCTGTTCATTTGGTTCTAGAGTAAACCGAATGATTTAATTCTCCCCCGGGCCACAATCAGATCTTGCTAGTGGAACTCACTCTCTGCCTTCCCAGGCCCCAGCCTGGCTCCTCCCCTCCCCCGCCAAACCCACCGTCCCTAGCCCCACCCGCACTGAAGAAGGCAAAGTCTCTGATGTGCCTTGAGCTCATTGTCAGGCGGCTGCCGCTGCTGTTAGATTTTTATTTTGCTAACCAGGGTAGAGCTGATAATATGTTGGAGCAGCATGGGGCATAGCCAAGTATTTTACAATTATCAATTGTTGAGCAGAGTAGAAATCTCCCCGGGACAGAGCCTCCTCTGTGCTGTGGTAAGAAGAGAGAATCCAATTTTAAAGGGGAAAGGACGTCTTGCTTTTCTAGGGGCAGCGCTCACAGTAGCTGAGAGGACAGTTCATTTTAGGCGAGATTCCCTGCTCCAGCTGTAGAAATGTTTCCTGTAGCCTCCTCCTTCAACCCTCCCCCCCATGCTTTGGAGTGTTCCCAGTATTTGTTCCGTAGGTAATTCGTTTTTAATTTATTGCTATAATTGTAATGGCAATTGTCATCAGTAATACAATTATTTATTATTAATTTTTCTGGGAGGATTTTTGTCCTTGGATTGCATGTAACCTGGGAGGTAAGGAGGGCCAAGGCCGGGCAGATGTTGCTTTTTATGTGTTTCCTTGATTTAGTTGAATTGTAAAGATTAGAGAAGCTTTCAAACTTTTTTTGAAACTACAAACTTTTTTTGTAAACTACAGTGAAAAACGTGTTTACAAAATGACAAAATATACACATTGAATTGTAACAAAAATAAATGCCTTATGAAATGATGAGTAGCCTAATTACCTGTGACATACACTATTTTGTATTCTATCCTGCTCTAGTCCCTTCTGTTTCATTAAAAAAGTTAGTCGTGAGCTGGGTGTGGTGGCGCACGCCTGTAATCCAAGCAACTCAGGAGGCTAAGGTGGGAGGATCTCTTGAGCCCAGGAGTTTGAGGCTGTAGGAGTTTGAGATTGTCCCACTGCATTCCAGGCTGGGTGACAGAGCAAAACCCTGTCTCTTAACAACAGCAAAAGAAAAATTGGTTGTGATCCACAAGAGAAATGCATTCTTCAACTGGAAAAAAAAAAAAAAAAAAAAAAACCGATTGGATTAGGAAGGTGTAATTTTTGAGGGAGTCTTTAAAACTCTTTGTAATTATTTTGGTTATAAACTTTTATAGAACTGTTTTCAACGAATGCTGTCTATAAGAAAGATACAGCCTCAGAGCAAGTTCAAAGATTATTCACAGATGAATGTTTCTCTTTACTAAAAGAAAAGATTCACTCTAGTTTATTTGATCAGCTAGTGTTAACAAGCATCCAGCATTTCAGAAAACAATAACACATTCTTAGACCCAGTCGTCAAGGCAGTCTTTTTTTTAATCTAATTTTTTTTTTTTTTTTTTTTTGAGACGGAGTCTCGCTGTGTCATGAGGCTGGAGCGCAGTTGCGTGATCTCGGCTCACTGAAACCTCCACCTCCCGGGTTCCAGCGATTCTTGTGCCTCAGCCCGAGTAGTTGGGATTACAGGCACCCGCCACCACGCCCAGCTAATTTTTGTATTTTTAGTAGAGATGGGGTTTCACCATGTTGGCCAGGATGGTCTCAATCTCTTTTTTTTTTTTTTTTTAATGTTTTCATATTTTCTTTTTTTTTTTTAATTAATTTATTTTTATTATACTTTAAGTTGTAGGGTACATGTGCATAACATGCAGGTTTGTTACATATGTATACTTGTGCCATGTTGGTGTGCTGCACCCATCAACTCGTCATTTACATCAGGTACAACTCCCAATGCAGTCCCTCCCCCCTCCCCCCTCCCCATGATAGGCCCCGGTGTGTGATGTTCCCCTTCCTGAGTCCAAGTGATCTCATTGTTCAGTTCCCACCTATGAGTGAGAACATGCGGTGTTTGGTTTTCTGTTCTTGTGATAGTTTGCTAAGAATGATGGTCTCAATCTCTTGACCTCGTGATCTGCCTGCCTTGGCCTCCCAAAGTGCTGGGATTACAGGTGTGAGCCACCGCGCCCGTCTAATTCTTTATTGTTAAAATACTGTTTTTTGAGTCAAGTTGCAATCCAGTTTAAGTTATAGCTGTGTTTTAATGATGCCCTCCTTAGCAAGCATCTTAAAAAAAAGTGCCTCCTATTTGTAGACCTTCTCTGGTTGCTTTTGCACTTATTTTATGTTCATTTTTAAAGCTTTTCTTTTTATTTTTTATTATGGGATTCCTCACATACACAAAGATAAAAGTAGTGTAATGAACCTCCAAGGACCCATCTCTGAGACTCAATGACTATCAACATTGTGCCAGTCTTGTTGCAGCACCCTGGGACAAATCTTATTCACAGCAGACTCTTCCTTCTTCCTGCCCACCCCACGCTTCCCAGTCTAGCACCTTAGACCAAAAGACATCGGAAAATTGAGTTACCTGTATAATCTGGGCATAATTGTTTTTATTGTTGTCCCTTTAACCCAGAACTTTATGCATTCTGTACTTTAGCTTTAGGAGAGTGGTGAATGAGATTTGTGAAGGGGACATTTTCTAGGGGATTGGTAAATTCAGGACTTTGGAAAAAGTATATCAACATCAGTCACATTGCCTAATTTCATGTTTACCTTGTGTGTAAGTTGCATCATCGTTGGCTTTGTGGACGTGGGGAGGAAGGGGACCGGCTGTGAGTGGGGGCGGATGCCTGGGGACCTCCCTGTAGACCCTTCCTCGTCCCCTCCTCAGGTTTGTATGTGCGGAGGGAAAGCCATGTAGAGCATATTGAAATAATCTTATTTTCCTTTATTTTTTTCTAGGTGTTGTTAGAGATGCAAAAGGAGTTACTAGACTACAAAGGAGTTGGCATTAGTGTTCTTGGTAAGATTTACTTTTTTATTATGTGAATGTCCAGGTTTCAAAGGAAGCTTTTTTTTTTTTTTTTTTTTTTTTCTTAAGAGGCATGGTCCTCCTCTGTCACCCAGGCTGGAGTACAATGGCGTGATCATTGTTCACTGCAGCCTTCAACTCCTGGGCTCAAGTGACCCTCCTGCCTCAGCTTCCTGAGTAGCTAGGACTATAGGTACATGTCACCATACCGGGCTAATTTTTAAAAAATGTTTAAAATATTTTTTAAAGATCCCATGAGATGGGATCTCACTTTGTGGCCCAGGCTGATCTCAAACTCATGGCCTCAAGCAATTCTCCCACATTGGCCTCCCAAAGTTTTGAAATTACAGGCTTGAGCCACTGAGCCCTGGCCCAAAGGGAACTAATTTAAATGCATCAAATATAGAATTACAGGGCCTACAGGGTCTTCCTATAGGCCTTTATAGATACATTTTTAAACTTTAATAGCTTGGGTTGCATGTTTGATAGAAACCATTTTGAAAATAGCATAAATGCTGGTGAGAGGCCCTGACATCTCAGTTTACCCTGTCATAATTGGTTTTTGCTAATCATAGGATCTAGGATCAGAAGATACTGTATATTTGCATAATATTGCCTCCAAACATTTATAATATTGCTTTACATTCAATTTACAGTTTTTATTGTACTTAAATACAACCTCATTAAAAGTTTAAAGTTTAAAAATACAAGCCTTTTATGAGAACCTCGCACATTGATAATCTAATTAAGTTTCCCCTATATTTTTGGGGAAGAGGACCTCTGCGTTCCAAAACTTATTTTCTTTTATTTTTGGTAGTTCTGAAGACTGCGTGGTATTAAGAGACCATAGGGTTAACTGTATTGCTTATTTCTGTTCAATTTTGTTCCTGTTGGTTTGGGACATATACTTAGATTTCTGTGAAGTGAGATCACAGCGTGGAATTTTGTGCTCTAGACCTAAAGGGCAACTGTTGGACATGGATTCCTGTTTGTGAGAAAGAGATTGTAAGAAGAATCACAGAGAGCATCATGGAGTGATGAATTAACAAATAGCTTGCTCAATGAATGTACCACTTGAAAAATCCTTCTGCCATGACGATGAAGCTAAATGTTTGCAATTTGAAAATCAGTGTGGATGGTCCCCTAAACTAAGTGAACCTTGGCCCACAATTTGAATGCAGAATAACTGAAATTTCCCGGTATTGTTGTTTACTTGCCAATATCATAGGTATTTCTGTTCACTTGGTTTTGAACTGGCATTTTTGTTGTTGTTTATCTTTCCTTTCACAGAAATGAGTCACAGGTCATCAGATTTTGCCAAGATTATTAACAATACAGAGACTCTTGTGCGGGAATTGCTGTAAGTTTAAAAAAGACCAAATTCTGTTACTTTTGTTAGATACTTCCTAAACCCGGATGTCTTCCATTATCTTCTACACTCTATTGTTTGTTCAGAATATTTCACAATTTAAAAGAATCCTTTTAAGATTCTCTCCAACTCACTATTAGTACATAATGCTTTTTACTTGTTCCCCATCCTGTGTTTGTATGTTTTTGTTTTTATTTTATGTGATATTTCCAAAGATTTGAAGTCACTGTATCTAGGAAAGATTTTTCAGCACTGTGGCAGTTAAACTGGCATGAAAGAGATAAAAATGACGAAGAAATGGTCATCTTTGTCAGCATAATTGACTATAAACTAGTTCAGTTGTTCTCAAAGTTTGAGTTTCATACCATCTGTCAGAGTCACCTGGTTAGGGTGGAGTATTAAAAAATTCAAGTGGGGCCAGGCACAGTGGCTCACGCCTGTAATCCCAGCACTTTGGGAGGCTGAGGCGGGTGGATCACGAGGTCAGGAGACCAAGACCATCCTGGCTACCACGGTGAAACCCTATCTACTAAAAAAAAAAAAAAAAATTAGCTGGGCATGGTGGCACACACGTGTAATCCCAGCTATTCAGGAGGCTGAGGCAGGAGAATTGCTTGAACCAGGGAGGCGGAGGTTGCAGTGAGCTGAGACCGCGTCACTGCATTCCAGTCTGGTGACAAAGCGAGACTACATCAAAAAAAAAAAAAAAAAAAAAAAAATCGAGTGGTGGGCACCACTTAGTCCTGCTGAATCAGAATCTCCGGAGAGACTTTATTTTTAACTTTTATTTTTAACTTTAATTTTAATTGTAAGAGTTCTGAACTCTAGGAACTGCTGCTTAGATGAAATCTCCTGGGTTAGCTGCACTGCCTTTCCTATCCAGAGGACACCTTATTCTTAAATAGATTCCTATTTAAAGGAGAGATTTTTATATATTATATAAACATGTTCACATAAACCTACAAATATAGCAAGTTTGAAAGCATACCATTTTTTTTTCCTGTTCACAAAAATAATGCACATTTATGGTAGAAAGTTTAGGAAAAACATTGTAGCTCACAACTCAACTGGAATTAACTTTAACCCCACTAATCAGGGATAATCACTAATATGTTAGGACCCATTCTTGCTTTATTACATTAACAAAATTTGAATTATGCTGATTATTTCAAGTTTTTCAAATTGCTTGATAAAGTGATTCAGATGGGGCAGGCTGGGTGGGATTTCTGTGAGGAGGAGCAGACGCTGATTGCAGTGTGAATGTTCAGAGCTGGTAGCCATCTGCTTGGCCTCTCCCATCCGTTGGCCTGCTGGGTATCATGTCACATTCATAGGACAATCCTGTCCTTCATGGAGTGGGTATTTGGAACATTAGCCTGAAGAGAGATGGCATTTGACCACATGGCTATGAACTTCCTCTGACTGGGGTCCCAGTTCAATTTAAGGGCCTATCTTTTCTTCTCCTAACCTGGTTCCTACCTTGTATACCTGTACCTAGACCTCGGCCTGGTTTCCTTCCATCTAATTCTTGGCCTTGTTAACCGCCCTGCATCTGAATAATGTGAACCTGGAACTCTGTCTTGGGTTATCAGTCTTCCCAGCTGCTGAGAACCTCATGGCTAGACTCTCCTAAGACCTGCTGGTTGCTTGCTATCCTACTAAGCACTGAATGTAGGTCATGCATCTTTCAGGACAAGATATTTACGCACCTACCACCCCATTCCCCAAGACCCTGCCACGTTGCCTTGCCCTTTATTAATTTACCTCTATATCTTTGCTGGAGCTCTGTTCCCTGACCATCTGGCTTCTGTACACCTATTCCCAGGCTCTGACCTTACTCAAAGGCTTGGGTCCAGTTTCCATGGCCTTGTCCTTTTGGAGCTGGGCTTATTTCTACTGCCTGTAGCCATTCTCATCGTTATCTTAATTTTTCATCCTGGAGTCAAAGAATTTTGCTTTTTATTTTGATGTATAATAGATATATGATTTCATGGCCAGGCCTAAAACATTATCAAAACCTCCTGCCCAACATCTACCTAGTTCATAGCACGGTGCATAGCACAGGATTATTGATTGTAAGTTATAGGACCCCCAACTCACTGGCTTACGTAAAAAAGAAATGTATTATCTCACCTAACAGATAAATGCAGGAGGATTTAGGTGCTTCTAAATGATTGCAGGAAGGTGATTTTCCCACATCTTCTGGCTCTGCTTTCTTATGTGTTCTCTTCACTGCATGGCCACCACTGGTTGCAGGATCAGCTCCTACAAGTTTCTTCTTTCCCTCAATAGAAACAGCTTTCCATACCAAGAAGTTTGAGTAAAGGTCTCAGTACCAAATTCCATTGGCCAGCCTGGGGCAGGTGCTCATCCCCTTGAGCCAGGGTTGACCACGGTTGAACCATGTGGACTGAGAGTGGCAGAGGGGTAATTTCCTAAAGGAACATCAGGCTGTTGTCACTAGGAAGAGGAGGAAGACCTGCAGGTCCAACAGTCACCCTAGGCTTTCAACACAGTCTCCAGTAAATAGTTGTTCAAGGATTGCATAAATAAATGAGTGAATTAGGGAAGACAAAGTAGTATTGGAACATTACCGTATTTCTGGTACTAAATCCACCCAAGGTAAAGCACTTGGTAGAGCATCACTTGTTCTTAATCTTTGACCACATGAGTTTATGTATTTACTGTTACCTGTGCTTCTGCCCAGAGCCGTTCCAGACAACTATAAGGTGATTTTTTTGCAAGGAGGTGGGTGTGGCCAGTTTGGTGCTGTCCCCTTAAACCTGATTGGCTTGAAAGCAGGAAGATGTGCGGACTATGTGGTGACAGGAGCTTGGTCAGCTAAGGCCGCAGAAGAAGCCAAGAAGTTTGGGACTATAAATATTGTTCACCCTAAACTTGGGAGTTATACAAGTAAGTTCTGGGAGCTGAGCTGGGTGGTGAAATGCTGACTGGTGGGTTACCCCAACCCAGGGCAATCTGTAGTTTTCAGTTCTTTTCTGCCCTTGCAGTTGTTAGTTCATTACCATTTAGATTGGGTGGCTGTACTAGCTAAAACTAGAGCCTACGCATACTCTTATTTTATTTTTTTTTCTAGACAGAGTTTTGCTCTGTCACCCAGGCTAGAGTGCAGTGGCATAATCTCAGCTCACTGCAACCTCCGCCTCCCAGGTTCAGGCAATTCTCCTGCCTCAGCCTCCCGAGTACCTGGGATTACAGGTGCCCACCACCACGCCTGGCTAATTTTTGTATTTTTAGCAGAGACAGGGTTTCACAATGTTGGCCAGGCTGCTCTTGAACTCCTGACCTCAGGTGATCCGCCTGCCTCAGCCTCCCAAAGTGCTGGGATTACAGGCGTGAGCCACTGCGCCTGGCCTATGCATACTCTTATTGCAGAAGCCAGTGAGTAGTTAGTAGTAGCTTTTCAGCTAATTAGCTGAAAAAGTCCAGGGGCTGGTTTGGCTTTAGATGTGGCCTGATCAGAGGCCCCAACAATGTCTCCAGGACCTGGTGGCTCCACAGGCAGAAAAAGCTGTCACTTTCTTGAAAGGTGGCTGCAGCTGCTCCTGACCTTATATTCTCCCAAGTTTCAATGCCTTTGTGGAGCATTGCCAGTAACAGTCTCATGTCTCCTGTGCCCCATTCTGAATCAGTCCCTGTGGCCGTGCCTGAGTTGCATTCTACCTCTGGGCTGTGGGTTTCACTGGCTCCCCTGGAACTACATGGGCTGAGAGTGGGTGAGGGCTGGGGTCCCAATAAGAAGCTACTAGTCTCAAGCCTGTAATCCCAGCACTTTGGGAGGCCGAGACGGGCGGATCACAAGGTCAGGAGATCAAGACCATCCTGGCTAACATGGTGAAACCCCGTCTCTACTAAAAAATACAAAAAACTAGCCGGGCGAGGTGGCGGGCGCCTGTAGTCCCAGCTACCCGGGAGGCTGAGGCAGGAGAATAGCGGGAACCCGGGAGGCGGAGCTTGTAGTGAGCCGAGATCCGGCCACTGCACTCCAGCCTGGGCGACAGAGCGAGACTCCGTCTCAAAAAAAAAAAAAAAAAAGCAGCTACTAGTCCATCAATGGATATAGGGTAGATGGATACTGGGTGACAAGTAAAAACTCAGATTTTTGAAAAAATTTACTTTATTTTATTTTGCCTTTTGAAAAATTTTACTTTATTTTATTTTTCTGAGACACAGTCTTTGTATGTTGCCCAGGCTGGCCTATAGTGGCTTTTCACAGGCATGGTCATAGCACACTGTAGCCTGCAGCTCCTGGGCTCAAATGATCCTCCTGCCTTAGCCTTCTAAGTAGCCAGGACTATAGGCATATACTACCGTGCCCACCCTCTCATGCCATTTTTGAAGATGATTTGTTCCCAGTAAAAGTCAAAAAGTTGGATCGCTCGTCCTCTCAGGATGTTGGTAACGATGGTAACAAAAGATGAGGCCGGGAGGGTGCTTTCACTTGTGCAGTGCTTTGAAGTCAGTTGATCTTTCCCTGCTAGGGGAGGCCTGTCAGTCTCTGGGTTGACTGCCATCTGTGTAAGAAAAGAGGAGAGTGAAAAGTGCAAAGTCTCAAACTTGTCTTCTGTGATAGAAATTCCAGATCCAAGCACCTGGAACCTCAACCCGGATGCCTCCTATGTGTATTATTGCGCAAATGAGACAGTGCATGGTGTGGAGTTTGACTTTATACCCGATGTCAAGGGAGCAGTACTGGTTTGTGACATGTCCTCAAACTTCCTGTCCAAGCCAGTGGATGTTTCCAAGGTAGAGTATAAAAGGCAGGGTCGGGAGAACCCACTGACTTGGTTTCTGCAGGGACATTTTAATATACACAAGAGCGGGAAGAACCATGGGTGTTTGGGGCCTGCAGAGCCCCTGAGCCAGGGCAGCTGCCAGTGAGCAGGCTGCCAGGTGTGAATCCCCAGCTGTTGCAGTGCCTGAGTCCTGCTGTTCCCAGCCTCGTGATGATGATTGCCTCACAGGATCCCACTTGAGTCCTTGGGGAACTACCTGCTTTTGAGAGTGGTTCTTAGAAACTTGTTTGGTCAACAGACGGGGAGTGACTTGTCTTCAAGAGCAGATGCAGATTATCCCGAGCCCAGGGGACCTGTGTGAGAGAGCTTCCCCTTGCCTGGTACCCACCTCCAGAAGCGTCAACAGGATACCGTTTTCTTTCTGAGTGGCTCACCAAGGCAGGGCAGTGGGACCCGTGCTCTAGGTACCTGCCCCAGGGGGCGATGCGGGTAAAGAATCTAAGAACAACCGTTGAACTGACTGAGTGGTATTCTGCCTTTTTACTTGGGAAAATATATACTTATAATAAATTTTACCGTTTAATATAAAATGTACCATCTTAACCATTTTGAAGTGTACGGTTCAGTGGCAGTAAGAGCATTCACATTGTTGTGCAGACATCACCACCATCCGTCTCCAGAACTTTCACATCTTACCAAATGAAAGTCTGTACGTTAAACACTAACTCCTTCTCTCCCTGCCCTCCAGCCCCTGGCAGCCTCCATTCTAGTGTCTGTCTCTGTGAATTTCACTACTCTAGGTACCTCCTAGAAGTGAATCATGTACTATTTGTCCTTTCGTGTCTGGCTTATTGCACTTAGCAGAATGTCTTCAAGGTTCATCCATGTTGTAGTGTGTGTCAGAACTTCCTTTCTTTTTTAAGGCTGAATAATAATTGTTTAGATATACTATATTTGGTTTATGGTCTGCTTTTCATTATCGCCAGGCACTGGCAATTTTAAATAACTATAAATTACTTTCCCCCACCCCCAACTTCCTGCCGACGCTCGGTTTTCCTACGGGTTTCATGGAGAGAGTCATGGGAGTGGGTTTTGTATCTTGCACAACAGAATTACCTAAAGTACCTTTAAACGTCTGTTTTCTATAATTTCTTCTCCCTCAGGCAGCTTGTCCCATCCCTTCTCTTTGTCATAGCAGTCCCTTGTCCCTTTCTCAGCACCTTCTGACTGTCCTTTTATACAGATGTAAATAGATTAAAAAATCTGTTTCGGCCAGGCGCGGTGGCTCACGCCTGTAATCCCAACAATTTGGGAGACAGAGGAGGGTGGATCACGAGATCAGGAGTTCAAGACCACCTGACCAATGTGGTGAAACCCCGTCTCTACTAAAAATACAAAAATTCGCTGGGCATGGTGGCACACGCTGTAATCCCAGCTACTTGGCAGGCTGAGGCAGGAGAATCGCTTGAACCCGGGAGGTGGAGGTTGCAGTGAGCTGAGATCGTGCCACTGCACTCCAGCCTGGGTGTCAGAGCAAGACTCTGTCTCAAAAAAAAAAAAATCTGCTTCTTCTCTTGGTTACTAGGGAGGTTAGAGGCCCCACTTTAAAGACTGATTTGGGGGTAGAAAGGAGGTATGCAGAGCAAATGTGAGTATGTGCCAGGACCTTGCAGTGGTGGGCTTGGGTTAGCCCCATCCAGGGGAGGACCAGACCGACAGATCATCCTCAGGCTTTGGAACCCTGAGTATGGGTTTGCCACCCAGATGGAGATTGCTTTAGAGCATCAACTCCTCCCTACACAGCATACAGTCATTTCCTTAAAGAAATTGTGCTTTGGGAAGAGTTGGGAGGTTTGCATACATGTATGAAAAATGGCCAAATCCTTCTTAAACAGCATGTCTTTCTCTTTTTAAGTTTGGTGTGATTTTTGCTGGTGCCCAGAAGAATGTTGGCTCTGCTGGGGTCACCGTGGTGATTGTCCGTGATGACCTGCTGGGGTTTGCTCTCCGAGAGTGCCCTTCGGTCCTGGAATACAAGGTGCAGGCTGGAAACAGCTCCTTGTACAACACGCCTCCATGTTTCAGGTAACTCTGGGAGTCAGTCTTGTGGACCCGGGGAGGGTCTCACTATTTTTCATCAAAGCAGAGGTTGTATTTTAAAGTAAAGCATGTAAGGCTGGGCGGGGTGGCTCACGCCTGTAATCCTAGCAATTTGGGAGGCCGAGACGGTGGACCACTTGAGGTCAGGAGCTAGAGACCAGCCTGACCAACATGTTGAAACCCTGTTTCTACCAAAAATACAAAATTATCCAGGCGTGGTAGCTCACGCCTATAATCCCAGCTACTCAGGAGGCTGAGGCAGGAGAATCGCTTGAGCTGGGGAGGCAGAGGTTGCGGTGAGCCGACATGGCACCATTGTACTCCAGCCTGGGTGACAGAGAGAGACTCCATCTCTAAATAAATAAGTAAAATAAAGTAAAGCATGTTTCCAGGAGCCAGTGACCAAATGCCCCAGATATCTTATCAGATTCTCTGCCCAGCTCACCTCTCCCTCTGTACCCTCTCTTTACTATTTGATCAACTTTTCCTCTTGCTCTTTTTTGGGGATGTTGGTTTTTGTTTGGTCTTGGTAATCCAGGACCTGGTGGTTCACCATTAACCCAAAAGCTCTCTATACATGAGGTGCTGTGGCCTGCATCTCAAACAGCCAGTGCAGCTTTGGAGAAGAACTTTCAAAGGCTGTGCCTCCCCTGCTTTCATTTCTTTCTCTGCTGGGCCTGCGGGAAGCTGGCTGCCTGACAGAGAACATACTGGCTTAAATACCTTTCAGGGATTTTTGTTTTTGTTTTTTTTTGAGATGGAGTCTCGCTCTGTCACCAGGCTTGAGTGCAGTGGCACAATCTCGGCTCACTGCAACCTCTGCCTCCCAGGTTCAAGCCATTCTTCTGCCTCAGCCTCCCAAGTAGCTGGGATTACAGGTGCGTGCCACCACGCCCAGCTAATTTTTGTACTTTTAGTAGAGACGGGGTTTCACCATGTTGGCCAGGCTGCTCTTGAACTCCTGACCTCAGGTGATCCGCTGGCTTCAACCTCCTAAACCATTGGGATTATGGGCATGCGCCACCGCGCCCAGCCAACATCTTTCTGTTTTTCAGCCTAATCTGGAGGGGTCCTCTTAGCCTGGCTCTCATTCGCTGAGTGGGGGCTGCGTTGCGGCACTTCAGGGAGAGCAAGGTTGCCCTGCCTCAGGATCCTGTAACTCCCAAACTTGGGTATTTTGAGAAAATCTTCATGACTCTTAAGATTTACAGTTGCCTAAGGGAGTCTAGTATTTACTAGCTGTGTGACCTTAGGCAAGTCACTTAACATGTCTGTGTAGTAGGTTCCAGAAGTAATAATAGTACCCCTTTCATTGGGTTGCTGTGAAGATTAAATGAGTTGGGCTATACATAAATTTTATTTATATATATACACACACATTTATTTATATGCATGTGTGTGTGTATATATATACATATATATATATATGGCCAACTGGGACACAAGAACTGGGCGGGCTGAGTGGTGAGGGTACAGTTGGGAACCTCAAGTGCTGGCCTCCTGGAGAAGGGGCCGAGGTGCCAGGCTGCACGTGGCAGGTGGAGGGAGAGGAGGCTGTCCTTACCTGTTTGGAGATGGGGCCAGGGCCTGCCTTGCAGCTAGAGGAGGCTTTCAGAGGAGCCCAAGACCATCAGCCATTTCAGAAGTGAGAAGGTGGGAGGGGGCAGGGAAGGAGTGCTGTCCCTGAACTGTCCCACAGCCTGTAGGCCAGCAAGTTGTGATCAGGGTACAGCTTGGGGCAGGGCAGACAGTCACCCCGTGGTACCTTCTCCAAGGGTTACCTCGAAGAGCATTTTTAAAAAAAGGAATGAACACGACTGGGCGCGATGGCTCACACCTGTAATCCCAGCACTTTGGGAAGCCAAGGCAGGTGGGTCACGAGGTCAGGAGATCGAGACCATTCTGGCTAACGCAGTGAAACCCCATCTCCACTAAAAGATACAAAAAGTTAGCCAGCTGTGGTGGTGGGCGCCTGTAGTCCCAGCTACTCGGGAGGCTGAGACAGGAGAATTGCTTGAACCCAGGAGGCGGAGGTTGCAGCAAGCCGAGATCGCACCACTGCACTCCAGCCTGGGCAACAGAGTGAGATTCCGTCTCAAAAAAAAAAGAAAGGAATGAGCACATTAGCACATGCTGTTTGTTAATATTAGGGGGAGAAACCATTAGTGGAAACAGTGGGAAAGCAGGCCAGTCTTTCTAATGGGAGATGAAGATGGCTGGAGTCAGACCTGGAGACACAGAAAGTTGTCCTGGAAGAGAGTTTCTCATAGGGTGACTCCCCTACCGCCCCCTGTGCTTGACCAGTGGTTGGGCTCCTCTGGCCCACTGTGGGTGGGGATGAGGGGGAGGGCAGGAACTCCCCTTCCAGAGCTTTCCTGCCGGAGGAAGGACAGAGGCAGAAACAAGGGCAGAAAAGGGGCCGAGTTTCTCCCCTAGACAGATCAGAACAGTGTTCATTGAGACCATCTCAGGGCCAGTCAGGATTGTTAATAATATGATGAGAATTTGTAAATAGAGAAGATAGAAGATACTTAAGTAATGGATTCTGACTCCAAGATACTCCTTGGAAGTTGCTTTCTTTCTTTTTACCCCATAAGAAAAAAAAAAAAAAATGTTCTGTCTAATTCTGTATGTTTGAAGATTAACCATAAATCCATGACTTTAAATGGAGCTCATTTGCAGTACTTAAAAATGCAAGGTTAGGCCGGGCACGATGGCTCATGCCTGTAATCCCAGCACTTTGGGAGGCTGAGGTGGGTGGATCATGAGGTCAGGAATTCGAGACCAGCTGGACTAACATGGTGAAACCCCGTCTCTACCAAAAATACAAAAATTAGCTGGGCATGGTGACAGGCACCTGTAGTCCCAGCTACTCAGGAGGCTGAGGCAGGAGAATCCCTTGAACCCGGGAGGCAGAGGTTGCAGTGAGCCGAGATCATGCCACTGCCCTCCAGCCTGGGTGACAGAGCAAGACTCCATCTCAAAACAACAACAACAAAAACAAACAAACAAAAAAAAAAACATGCAAGTTAGAAAATCCTAGCTCACCCAATGAGAACAAGCTACAAATGGAGACATCAAGATGTGTGCAAAATGCCCTCCTCAGTCCGTGATGTGAGGCTGATGGGGTACCTGGAACCCTTCAGAACTTTGTATCACATACTAGAGTTCTTGAAACGGCCTTACTTTTGAAAAGAAGCCATGTTTTTTTTTTCCCCCTGAGTCTAATGACCATAGGCCCTGGGAACTTTGATTCAATTGTGCTGGATAAAACTGCCTTCAAATCGTTGCTCTGTAGCCCTGAGCGATGAACTGGAGTGGAATAAAGGACATGCTGCTGTTCTCTTTAACCCTTCAGTAGAACACACTAACCCCAATTAGTGGATAGAAGAAAAGGTCCCTAAACTTCCCTTCTGACCACACAAAATACTTTTTACTTACCGTGACTAACTGAATACACAAGCGTACATTTGTTTTAGCTGCAATATGAGGTGAAGTAACTAATAAAAATACAAAACAAATAGACCATTAATTTTAGGCCACCTCTTAAAAGAATGGGAACAGGCCAGGTGCGATGGCTCACATCTGTAATCCCAGCACTTTGGGAAGCCGAGGCAGGTGGATCACCTGAGATCGGGAGTTCAAGACCACCCTGACCAACATGGACAAACCCCGTCTCTACTAAAAATACAAAAATTAGCCAGGCGTGGTGGCGCATGCCTGTAATCCCAGCTACTCAGGAGGCTGAGGCAGGAGAATCGCTTGAACCCAGGAGGCAGAAGTCACAGTGAGCTGAGATTGTGCCATCGCACTCCAGCCTGGGCAACAAGAGCAAAACTCCATCTCAAAAATAATAATAATAAATAAATAAAAGAATGGGAGCATGCAAGTTAAGTCTGTGAGTCTGTTTGGAGGACTTCCCTGGTCCCAGACTACCTTCTCTCAGTGGGATGGAGACACCTGGAATCCTGGAATCCACAGTGGGGTGTGTAGTGGAGCCAGTTTTGGGAGCTTTCCTCTGGGAGAAGTGCTCAACTCCGTGGTTACATTCACCGATTCCTGAGAAAACTGTGCCATAACATCGACTTCAGAAGCTCATCTGCAGAGCTGGAGTCTTAGAACAGCCAGGGAGAGTTTTCCGGGGGGACTTTCTGGTGTCCTTTTCTAAGCCCTGGTGCACAGGGACTATTTCGTATTGCTTAAAAAAATTTATAACAGTAACATACTCTTAGGCTGGGTGCAGTGGCTCATGCCTGTAATCCCAGCACTTTAGGAGGCTGAGGTGGGCAGATTACCTGAGGTCAGGAGTTTGAGACCAGCCTGGCCAACATGGTGAAACCCTGTCTCTACTAAAAATACAAAAATTAGCCAGGAGTGGTGGTGTGCACCTGTAGTCCTAGCTATTCTGGAGGCTGAGGCAGGAGAATCGCTTGAACCTGGTAGGCGGAGGTTGCGTGAGCCGAGATCGTGTCACTGCACTCAGGCCTGGGTGACAACAAAACTCCGCCTCAAAAAACAAACAAACAGTAACATACTCTCAGCAAAGAATTGCAAGTGGGCGGAGTCACCAGGGTAGCCACTATTCACTGCTTGCTTTGCATCCTAACACACCCTTAACTGGGCATATGCAAATATGCAGTCATATATTTAATCATGCAAATGGAACTTGAACTTTACCATACAAATTGTTCTGAATTCTATTTTTCCACTCCACAATAGACATTGGCATTCTGCTATGTCAGCGGAAATGCCTATTTTTATTTTTTACTTTAAAATTTTATTTTTGTTAGAGACAGGGCCTTGCTCTGGTGCCCAGGCTGGAGTGCAGCAGTGTGATCACAGCTCTCAGTAACCGCAAACTCCTGGGCTCAAGTGATCCTCCCACCTGGGCCTCTTGAGTAGCTAGGACTACAGGCAAGTGCCACCATGCCTGGCTACATTAAAAAAAAAAAACTTAGGGTGACGGGGTCTCAATATGTTGTCCAGGCTGGTCTCAAACTCCTGGCCTCAAGCTATTCTCCCACACTGACCTCCCAAAGTGTTGGGATTACAGGCATGAGCCACCACACCTGGCCCTTTTTTTGTTTTAAAATATATATGGTGTCCTGTAGAATGGACATACCTCGATTTATTTAATCATTTAATAGGCAGAGTTAGGAACCCTATCCTGTGTGTTTACAGGTGGCATTTTAGAAATGAAGGCACAAATCTGTTAAAAATGTCACACTGGTAGTGAGAAGAATTGAGACCATGCTGTAAGCTGCATAAGCATTTTATTTTATTTTATTTTATTTATTTATTTTTTGAGACAGAGTCTTGCTCTGTCGCCCAGGCTGGAGTGCAGTGGCCGGATCTCAGCTCACGGCAAGCTCTGCCTCCCGGGTTTACGCCATTCTCCTGCCTCAGCCTCCCAAGTAGCTGGGACTACAGGCACCCACCACCTCGCCCGGCTAGTTTTTTTATTTTTTTTTTTAGTAGAGACGGGGTTTCACCATGTTAGCCAGGATGGTCTCGATCTCCTGACCTCGTGATCCGCCCGTCTCAGCCTCCCAAAGTGCTGGGATTACAGGCTTGAGCCACCGCGCCCGGCCTGCATAAGCATTTTAGAGCCCTTGTGTTGTCTTTTTTTTTTGAGAGGGAGTCTAGTTCTGTGGCCCAGGCTGGAGTGCAGTGGCGCGATCTCGGCTCACCGCAAGCTCCACCTCCCGGGTTCACGCCATTCTCCTGGCTCAGCCTCCCGAGTAGCTGGGACTACAGGCGCCCACCACCGCGCCCGGCTAATTTTTTGTATTTTTAGTAGAGACGGGGTTTCACTGTGATCTCGATCTCCTGACCTCGTGATCCGCCCGCCTCGGCCTCCCAAAGTGCTGGGATTATAGGCGTGAGCCACCGCGCCCGGCTCAAGATTTTAGATTGTATGGGAGTTGAACATGGGTTAATAAAGAACTGGAAGCCACAAGGGTCTTGTGTTAAGTAGAGTCACAGGGGCTAGACATCAGTGCTGTGCAGAGGACTGAGTGGGAGAGGAGGGCAGGACCTCCTACCCCAGGGATGTCTTCAGTCTTCAGGACAGCCTGCTTGCTTCTGATTTGTCTGCCTCTTGTTGAGGCTTCATAGAGTCAGGTTACGGGTACTGGCTCCAGGCAGCCCCTAAAAGTGGGTGAGCTTTCTGCTAGACTTGCCTGCTCAGATTCATTAAGAAATCCAGAGAGCATGGGCGGCGAGTGTGAGCGCAGCAGCCAGCTAGGGGTTCAGGCGTCGGTACTGAGGTCTGGCTAGGACGGTGAACCTGACATGGGCCCTTGCTGCACTTTGGATTTAGAGAAACCAAATCCAAAGTGCAGCAAGGGCCCAGGTCAGCCCTGAAACCCTGGAATAACACAGAGCTGCAGGCAAAAGCGAAGCTTGGTCACCTGGAAGTATTGTTGGTGACCTGGCACAGGGTGACGCTGCTTGGATTCAGTCACATGGCAGGGTGTGTTTCTGTGCTTCAGTGTGGAGGTAGGTTCAGTGTGGAGGTAGGTTCTGTGTAGAGGTAGGGGGTGAGCAGGCTGCAGGTGTGGGAGAGGAGCAGTTGGAAGTGAAGTGGGAGTTGTAGAGCATCTGCTGAACAGAGAGGGCTGGGCAGCCTCGTGTCGGGAATGCACACCCACATGCGTGTGTGCTGTGTGCTGGACTTGGCCACTGTGACTGGTGTGTGGTGATAGCCCTGCAGTCCCACTTACAGGGCAGCTAGCGACTGGGGCCCTGCAGCCCCTGGCAAAGCAGAGGGTCTGGATACTTGTGGGAAGAGCTTGCACTCTTGGAGTCAGACAGGCTGGAGTTGGAGTCCTGGCTTTAAGCTGCTCGCCAGATGACTTGAGGCAAGTTAAGCTCTCTGATCCTCAGTTTCCTCATCTGGAAAATGGGATGATGGTATCTCTAACCCGAGGATTATTGTGATCCATGAAAATAGACTGAGGCCACAGTAGACTTCAGGAAGTACTCATTCCCTTCTCTTATTTTCTCTCTTCTTTCTCTTTTGTCCCTCTGACTTCTTGGACGTTTAGCCAGAGAGCCAGCGCTGAGGCTGTGGATTTCTCAGGGGCTGTTTTCTCTTCCTCTCTGCCTTCCCTTTCTGCCAGCAGCCACTCCTGCTCTTTCTTCCCAGGGCTGTGGGGAGGTAGGCTGGGGAGGCTTCAGGAGAGGTTGTTGGATGTTTGTGGATGCTGTCTGCTCCCTGCCTGAGGCCCCTCTGGGCAGCCCGGTGTTGGCTTTTGCCAACATGAGCTGGCATGAGCCACCGCACCCAGGCCTTGGGTCCCACTTGAGGCAGTGAATGAGCCAGTTGGTATAGGGGGCTTCCCTGTGACAAGATGCTGGCTGTTAGAGCATTTTCCAGACCCCGTCATCTCCCCTCCTGTTAATAAAGGAGGAAGCAGCTGGTATCCCCACCCCAGATCTTAGCTGAGCATTGACGCCCAATACATTTTTGCACAATTCCCATAGAGGACCTTTGATTCATACCTCTGGAGAGGGCATGGTTGGCCGCTGACCTCCAGACTCTCTGCTCAAGGGAGATGGTGTCTTCTCGGGGCAACCTCTGCTCCTGTGCCCTCGGCTTTTACTGAGTACATGTGGAGCCTTTAGCACCTTCTCAAGGAGAGGGGCTTTCAGACTGGGGAAAACCATGTGCCGCTCCTCAGTGTTTCATATTTTCAGCTTAAGTTTGAAGGGACTACTGACTACCATTTGTGTGGCCCACCTGCCATGTGCCAGGCCCTGTGCTAAGCGCCGGTCTGGCAGGAAAAATTTGAAACACTTGGTTCAGAAAGGGACGGTCCTGAGCTGCGGGAAGGGCTGAGGTGCAGCTGGACTTCCTGGAACCAGGGACACAAATCCTCCTCCATCTGCTCTCCACTTCTGATCCTGGTTTCTCTCAGCGGGAATGTTGGTTTCATTTTCAGATGGGTCTTCTTCAGATGTTTCCTAGAAACATGATTCCCTAGGGCTCTCATATCCTGTCTCACAGTTGCACTAATATTCTGCCCCTTTTTCTGCTCTCCTCACTCTTTCTCCCCACTCCCAATTGAGAAAATCTCAAGGAAGGCCCTGATTGGCCCAGTTAGGTCCCATGCCCAACTCTGAGACCAGGGAGTCAGGGGCCTTGCTGGACCTGCATACTGGCTGGAGGGTGGAGTTGGGAAGAGCAGGGTGGATAAAATGCCACGTGTCCACCACAGGTAGGTGAATCTCCTGGTTCCAGATGGGAAAGCTGAGGTGACTAATCCTGGGTAGTCTGTTAGTGAGTGGCTGCCCTGCGACGGGAGTCAGGACTGGGACGGGGAACCCATCCTTTTAACCACTCTGCCACAGTGCTCTCTGCTGGCTGGAAGGCACTGTGCTAAGGCTGTGGGTAGAAAAGATGAACAGTGTGGGCTTCTAGCCTTCCAAGACCACAGAGGCCAAACCACAGGCACACAGAAACTTAAAATAAAGGAGCAAGTGGAAAAAAACGATGCAGGAAATATGGGCAAGGTGCTCTGGGAGTTCAGGAAGTGAAGAGCTTGCTCTGGGTCGGGGCAGGATTGGGGTCTGCTGATGCCTTCTGGTGGAGATAAGGAAGTGTGTTCTGGTGTCAAGAAGAGTTTACATTAGGGCTTGAGCTGGACAAGGAGGGATTGATATGACGTTTAGTGAAAAATCTCATTAAACCTTTTTCTGAATGGCCCTCAGGGGTCTAGAATTGGATTGACTCTAGTCCTTGCTTGATGACATGCTCTTGTTCACACAAGCCCTGCTTTTGTCTTGTGTATTTTCTTTATTTTATTTTTGGAGACAGGGTCTCACTCTGTCACCCAGGCTAGAGTGCATTGGTGTGATCATAGCTCACTGCAACCTCGAACCCCTGGGCTCAAGCATTCCTCCCTGCTCTGCCTCCCAAGTAGCTGGGACTATAGGCACATACTATCACGCCCAAATAATTTTTCATTTTTTACAGAGATGGATCTTGCTATGTTGCCTAGGCTGGTTTCCAACTCCTGGCTTCAAGCGATCCTTCCGCCTCAGTCTTCCAAAGTGCTGGGATTATGGGTGTGAGCCACTGCACCTGACTGTCTTGTCTGTTTCAAATAATGCCTTTAAGTCTGTTTTAATGGAACTTAAACAGCAGTTTGCTTGAATATACTTCTACTTTTGCAAAGATGAGCTAAACGGATTTTTAAAAAATCTTCATTTTAGCATCTACGTCATGGGCTTGGTCCTGGAGTGGATTAAAAACAATGGAGGTGCCGCGGCCATGGAGAAGCTTAGCTCCATCAAATCTCAAATGATTTATGAGATTATTGATAATTCTCAAGGATTCTACGTGTAAGTCAATGGATTTTATCTACTATTTTACCTCTTGTGAATTTAAAACCATGTATATACTGTGTGCCTTTGAAAAGTGGACATATTCACCTTTCTCTGAGACATTAAAATGCTGGTGAGTGTGGGTGGTCCTGGGCTCCACGAATAAGGGAATGGGTGGTGAGTTCTTCCCTCCTGTGCCCCATCCTGGGGCTCTCAGGTTTTGGGACCTGTGTTCCAGTGGTTAGTGATGTTTCTTACACCAAAGACATCACCCTGGGGAAGAATCTCAGTTCACCCCCTGGGGTAGGTCCTGTCTACTCCCTGCTTGCTCTGTACATTTTCTGGGAAAAAACGTACTTTCTGGAATGTGTCAATTGAAGGATTCCCGTTAGAGATCTTTGGGATAAATACTCACTCCTGGCCTCCTTTTCTGCGTTATTTCCCTTTTTAAGAAAGTTCACTCCTTTCCTTATAAGACAGATGCTGTTATCCCAGAGTCTGTGAATGGAATTGGCTTTGGCATGGGGTTGACTCCAGTTTAAATATTTCCATGACCAAATGATTAATGAGTATGTCTTACCCACTAGCCCTGCATCTGGGAATTTCGCAGAAAATGTGTGGGTCTTGTATTAGTGTCCTGGGGCTGGCGTAATAAAGTGCTAGAGACTTAGTGGCTCAAAACATCAGAAGACTTATTCTCACTCTTCTGGGGCCAGAAGTTCAAAATCAAACTGTCAGCAGAGTTTTGTTCCCTCCAGAGAGCCATGCCTTGCCTCCTTCAGCGTCTCGTGGCTCCAGGTGGTCCTTGATTCGTGGCTGCATCACTCCAGCCTCCACATCTGTCTTCACGTGGCCTTCTCCTTTCTGCCGTGTCTTCCCTTCTGTCTCTTAAAAAGAGAGGTCTTTGGATTTAGGGCCTATCCAGATAATCCAGGATCATCTCACGTCGAGATCCTTCACGTAATGACATCTGCAAAGGCCATTTTTTCCAAATAGGTCATATTCACAGATAGATTCTGGGGGTTCGGACATGGGCATACCTTTTCAGGGTCACCATTCAATCCACAGCATTGGGCCCTTCACCAAAATGCCAGATGGGAAGCACCTGGTGCAGTGCCTTGGATGCAGAGAAGCATAACAGGTGGTATCTCCATTTGCTTTTCCCTTTCCCTTAAGGGTGGGTACAGGTATACAAAGACCAGACTTTCCGCTGTGTGCATGTATGTGCACCTACACATATACATAAATGCTTAAACCCACCAAACTGAGAACCCCCTTCTTAGTGGTCATTGCTCTTTGAGGTTCAGTCTATTGTAACAAAAATATCTGCTTGATGGTAAGTTGGAAATTTGTCCTCTCTCAGATAATTCAGTGGCCACGTGGGACAGACAAAATGATGCCTCAATCCTAACTTAGAATTGTACTTTTTAGCCAAGATTTAACTAACACATCTCCATAACCACCCATGGGTGGGCAGTGCTGGTGTACTTTTTGGATGGCATGCTGCTGCCACCTTTGTTCTTGCAATGCTTATTGCCTGCTTTTGTGAGCTCTTGGCATGCAGTGGTCCTCCTCCAGCTGCAAGCCCGGGGGAGTTAGGCTTGGCAGGATGCCTTGGCCTTTGGGTTCCTTTCCCAGCTACCATCTTGGGGAAGGGATACACACTCTGCATTACTGCCTGTTCTCTGGTTCTGTGCAACAGAGAAGCAAGTGCAGGCTGGGGGCTCGGTGCTGGGGAAACTTCCACCCTGTACCTTGATGTGTGAGTCGGGAGGCCAGGATACCCTGCCTGTGCTCACTGAAGCCATTTAACATGCACAATTAGCAGTAGGTATCCAAGGATTTCATAGCCAAGGGCTAAAGAATGTGGCGTGAGCCTGGAAAAGGGGATACTGTTTGGTTGGAGGTGAAGAGAGGGCTTTTGCATCAGCTTATTATGAGCCCTGGTCATGAGTAGAATCAGGCAGAGAAGAGGGCAGAAAGGTTTAGAGTTCTAACCTTTAGAAAGGTTAGAATCATCCCTGCAAAGGCACTGAGGGAAGAGTGTACAATGTGTTTGGGGAGCAGAGCATGGGCTGCTTGAAGGGGATGGCTTATGCTGGGATTGGAAGGAAGGTCTGTGGAAGCATGTGAGAATGTGTTTAGTCCACCTATTTATTCATTCATTCATCTACTCACCCACCCATCCACCTACCTACCCATCTGTCCATCCACTCATTCACTCATTCATTCATTCATTCATTCATCCATCTGTCCACTCATTCACCTATACATTCATCCTGTCATCCACTCATCCATCCACCACTGACCCACCTATCCATCTATTCATCCACCACCCACCTACCTATCCATCCATTCACCCACTCACTCATCCATCTACCATCCATTACCCATCCATCCTTCCACCTACCTATTCACCCATCTCCCCATTCACCCATCCACCCATCTATCCACCTGCCCATTCATTCACCCATCCACTCATCCATACATCCATCTGTCCACCCATTCATCTATCCATTCATTCATCCATCCACTCATCTACCCATTCACTCATCCATCAATCATCCATCCATCCATCCATCCATCCCTCCATCTGTCCACCCATCCATCCATTCACCTACCCATTCACCCACCCACCTATCCATCCATCTACCTACCCATCCACCCTTCCATCTATCCATCCACCCTTCCACTTATCTACCCGTCTATCTATCTATCCATCCATCCATCCATCCATCTACTCATTCATCCACCCATCTACCCACCCACTCATCTGTCCATTCACCCTTTTACCTATCCATCCGTCTACCCACTTGTCCATCCATCCATCCATCTACCCATCCATCCATCCACTCATCCATTCTCCCACCTACCCACCCATCCATCCATCCATCCATCCATCCATCCATCCATCCATAAAATGACTCCTGACCACCCACTCTGTAGACTAGTCTTGTTCTAGGCTCCTGGAAGACCGAGAAGAATAAATCATCTTCCCTGGCTCCCTAAAAAGTGCTGAGAACCTGAATGTGAGTAAAAGCACTTGGTGGTTATAGTGGATGGGAGACCAGTTTTTCTATTAGCTTTTAGCTCTACATATTTCTCAGGAGATGGTTAGACATGATATTAGAGGACAGAAAGAATGGTGATACCACTGGGAAAAAAATTAAGGGCATCAGGAACAAAATAAGAAAGCATAGAAGGAATTCTGGGAATCTCCTGAATCCCCCCCGCCGCCCCTAGGTCCTTTAACTTCAAGCACTCAACCTGGGCCTCTCCCAGCAGGCAGTCTGCCAAACTAATGTTGCAGGCGGGTCATCTCCTGGGGAATCTGGTCACCCTTCACACCCAGAGCTCTTCACTCATTTATGAACTGCCTTGACCCAGGACTTCCGGTCCTTTTTCAGAATAAACCTCTTTCTGGGAACTCCCAGCACCCCCTCGGCTGCCTGCCTGGAAAGCGTCATCCCAGGCGCTTGGTGTCCTGTGGAACCTTGTTACTGGAGTAGAAAGGAGGCTCTACTCTGTCTCTCCTCTGTTTACAGCTGGAGACTCCCAGGCTGTGCCTGAACGCACTTAGGTTTTCAGGAAAGTCTTCTTTTCTTCGGAACTATGGAAATAGTGGAGCAACATGGCCCCATGGGAGGCTTGCATTTTAAAGAGGAATACCTAGAATTAGAATTTGCAATTTACCACCACCTTTGCTCCTCATTTTTGTCTCTGAGAAGATGCATCCCTCCCCACTTCCATGCCCCCTGACTCGTAAGCCAGCTCCTTTACTTAACATGGTTCCAGGTTGTTTGCTGGGGGTTTCACTGGCCCTGCTGGTGACCTTGGCAGGGAATTCTGGGACTAGATAAGACAACCTTCAAAGCCTCCGAGTTGATTCCATAGCCCAGTCACCCACACTGTGCTGACTGACTCCATATTGAGCCCACGTGGGCTGTTTAGCATCTTGGGCTTAGAAGCCTCACTTTGCCACTGCGGTGCATGTGACCTCGCGCAAGTGACCTAACTGCTCTAAGCCACAGTTTTCTCATCTGTACCATGGAGGTAATGATACGTACTTCTTAAAATTGTCAAGAGAATTAAAAGGAAATGCTTCTGAATCAAGAGTACATAATATAAGGATTGAGAGCATTTTTACATTAAGGATTGAGGACTCTTGTGCTGGTTAATTTGTATAAAGTGCTAGAAACAGTGCTTGGCACATAGGAAGCATTCCTTGCATGTTAGCTCTTAATAGCATTATTTGTGGTTATTGTTATGTAAAGCAATTATGATATTCCTGACACACAGTGCTTATATAATACAAGCTTTTGTAATATAATTAATTTTATAAGTATATAATAGATATTTATTTTATTATATAAGGATGTGCAAGTGACAGATTCCATGTCTGGATCTGAGGTCACCTTTATCACCTTATGTGGCTACCAGGCCTTAGGAAAGAGAAGGAGGCACGTGATGGGTCTAGTGAAGACCCTAAAATAAAATGAAGCAGGCAGAGTCCTAGGCACCTTACACTGGTGAATGCCTTTTGTTGTCATCACAACCCTGTGAAGTAGACATTGAGCCTATGCAGCAGAAGCACAGATAGGACAAGGATGCAGCTGGGAAGTGGGAGCAGCCAGGCTATGAACATGGGGCTGGAAGGCTCATTCCAGAACCTCTGCTGCTATCTAAGTCCAGGAGTGCAGAAGGCCTTAAAGAGGCCATACAACTTAAGCCATAAAGTAAAAGAATGACATATTTAATGACATGAACATTTTAAAATTTTATATGGCTTAAGACATCATAAACAGAATTAAAAATGACAGAATAAGAAAGATTTTGTAGTATATAACACATAAAGGTTACTATCCTTAATATAGGCAAGAACCCACAGATGAATGAAAAAGGATAAAGAAATAAAAGTGGGGGTGTGGTGGTTGCTAACAGTATGAGGAAACAACTCAGAAGAAATGCAAGCTGCCTCATAGACAAATGGAAAGATGCCACCTTCATTAGTTCCTTAG